CAACTCCAAAAAAGAGAATGAAGGGTTCGAAGCTCACCAAGGGTGCCCCCTTGTTGGGGGATTCGGTTGAAGACTGTTGCATGATGGAGGCCCGCAACATGGCCGCCGCAGTCTTGGAGGCGGTAATTTTGCTCATGGCGTCCGCTGCAAAAACAAGTAGCAAAGTTAATAAAAGTCATAACAGAAATGCATGGAACAACAGAGTGTTCGACAGGCCGGCTACCTCTTGAGAAGCGACTGCTGAGGCCACAGGCGGCCAAAAAGTACTCGTCGTAGAGCCATTTGAAGCTCGGGACGCAGTGCAGGGGTACTTGCTCTCGTACCCCTGAAGTAGAGTTCACCTTCGACTCTACTTTGAAGAGTCCTTTATCTAGGATCTCTTTCTTAGCCCTGGGGGGGAACAGGCGGCATGCTGCGGCCGCCTGCAAGAAGGGGCGGATTCCTGTTCCACCTGTTGAAGCGCTTGTTCAGCTCTGTGTCTAAACTCTCAATAATAAGGAAGGTGCTCCGCCAGTCCTTCCATTTCTTTGCTTTACCTCTTGTCATGAGGTAGCCCCTGTGGCTCGTCAATTGATACCAGCCGGTACCGCCTGCCTTAGGGGTCCGGCTGAGGTAGTTCATGTGGTCGAAAGCCTCGAAGTTTGGCTCCACCCCGTGCAGTTCGCACCCGGCCACATAGCCGAGTACGTTGACCAAGGAGTTCAGGGCTAACTGCCATAACCCCAACTCATACCCATCCAAGATCCGTTGAACAGCCGGATGTAGTGGGAAGCGCAGCCCAGCCTTGATGGCCGCCTCGTAGCAGCCAAAGCAGGCGCCATCATAACTAGTACCAGCCGGCCAGACGACTGTGTCTTCTGGATCCGGCACGAACACTAAAAAGCCGGGGCCCATTGTGTGGTTTGCGATAAAGCTCCCCACTTTCTCTTGCATGGCCGTGATCCGACCCCGAGGTACCGTGCAGTAGTAGGGGGTATTTTGCTCTCGGTGAGAGGCGGATGGCTCCGCCCAATTGTCCCCCTTCTCAACTGCGTGAGAAAGCCTCGCCTCTTGTAGGCGACTGTTTTTCTCTTCTGTGTCCAGAGAAGCATGGCCAGAAGAGCTAGACTCGGATTCGTCCTCTGACGAGTCCAAAGAGGACGACTCCTCCCCTCTCCCAGAGGGGCCCGCCTCCTCTCCTTTAAAAGGAGCAGGAGAGAATGTAGAATTGTCAACTGTAAAATGGGAAGGGGTCACTTTGACTCCTCCCTCAGAACTGCCGGCTTTCAAGCCGCTTTGTTTCACTTCCACATCTGGCGCCTGGTCAGATGTTTCACTAATCGGCACCCTGTGGGAGGAGCCGTCTGAGTTCGAGATCCTAGCAGTCTTTTTTGTTCTGGCCATCATGTTCTGCATAGACACAGATACAGTCGGACTTTGTATAAAGGGCAACGATGGGTCCAGAAAAGGGCAGGCGGCACTCCTAGTCCTAGATTCAGCCGTCCCCGGTGACCGGCTGATCACTAACCTAGGTCGTGTCGTGTGCTTCCGTGGTGCCATTTCAAAAAAGAATAAAGTAAAGAGAAAATTAAGAGTAAGAGAACCGACGGTTACCTGAACGAGTGACGATTGATGAAGTTATGAAAATCCTTTGCAGTCGGCTTGTCAGAGCAGGCGGTAGGCAGAAATGGTCCAAAATGTCAGAGCAAGTTCAGGGGTCCGAATGTTCTCTCACAAAGTTCTCAAGTGTGAAAAAGACCGAAGGCAACACTCCCTTATATAGGCGAAGTGAGAAGGCGAAGGGTCACTTCCGGAATTCAAAATTTGGGCGGGAGAATCTCTCGGCCTTTCGCCGAGTGACACCTGTAGCAGGTCGTCGCCTGTTACAGGGCGACACCTGTCACAGGTAACACGTGACCAGTCACGTGCCACCTGTGAGGGGTAAATGATTAGGGGATTTTGCTCCCACCAATCGGAATGCGCCACGTGGGCCAATCAGGTCCTGCCAAGTGTCCCCCAGTTGGACCTCTCAGGGCTTGCCACGTGGCACACGCTAATTCGTCCACCCTGGACCTATCATGTCATGACACGTGGCATACTCCATGCCTAATGGAGAAGTCGGCCACCTAGGCCCAACTTCCGAGGGAAGCCCAATCAGCCCAAGGTTAACCTAAACCTAGGATTGGCACGTTTCCCGAGGTTATAAATACCTCCCTTAATCCTCATTAAGGGGAATTACGGAGATTACACACATTAAACACTCTCACCTAGAGAGACCCAATCACTTTAATTTCCGCATTAATTACTCCTTAATCAAGTACTAACTTGACCGTCGGAGGCGGATCTCCAATCATCCGGAGCATCCGTTTGTTTTGCAGGTACAGGCGTCCGGTTCCAGTCTCGGAATTGTAACTCTCCCGCAGGACATCAGAAAACCCCGAAACAGGTAGGTTTTTCGTTTGTGGGTCCACCTCCATTTCCATTTTTTGTTGAATCACCGCAAAACCTCTTCTCTCCATATTCATGCTTCACTTTTTCTCTCCTCCTTCTTACCTGAAACCACCATGAGAGGATAAGGAAGGATCCGCACTCAACAGAAACACTTCAAGCAAAGGGGAAAGAGGAAGGAACCCTTAGTTCATAAGAACCCCCAATTTAATTGAAGTAGGAACCCTAATTTCAGAAAACCCCCAATTGAATTAATATAGGAACCCTAATTTAAGAAAACCCCCAATTTAATTGAAGCATGAACCTTGATTTCATAAGACCCCCATATGCCACTCATTTAACCCTATTATAGTGGATTTTGGTGAAGGAAATGTGAATTGAAGTTGCGAGAGCTATTTTAAAGAGAAAAATCGAGGGGAGAATTAGTCAAAAGTGTCAAAATAGCGGTTTGTAGCCGTTAGGTGGGGCCCACAGACGGAAAACCCACCAGAATTTTGAAAAAGGTGGGAATTTAAGTAATTTTTAATTTAAGGGGTGCTAAAATATAAAATAAAATTATAACGGGTGGTCATTTCAAAACAGGTCTACTATTTGAAAAAAAAATGTTTTTTTAAAAAATAGGTCTACTATTTGAGTAGTAATTTACAAATTTTCTAAAATAAAAAGGCAAATACAGATTAATAAGATTTAGAGTTGTTTGGTTAACTTAGGAATTGAAAATTCCCATGAACTTCTAATATATGGGAATTAAATTCCAAAATTAAATTCATGGGAATTTCTTAAAGTTGTTTGGTTGGTAATGAGGGAAGTTAATTCCCATAGGAATTTCAAATTATCTAGGGGGACTAGGTAAGTAATTTTCTACATTTTATGGGAATTGAAAATTTCTCTTCCCCCATTTCACTAAATTTTATTCAACCAAACAACTTACTTATTTTGCAATTCCTAGAAACTTCCAATTCCCATGATTTTGTATGTGAACCATACAAATTCTTAAATGGACCTGGTTCACATTAATTCATTGTGGACCACTAATATCAGGAAAACTATGGTTGTTTTATTAGTTAAAAATAGAGTCACTAAATAGAAAAAAGGTTTATATGTTGAAATAAAAGTCATTTTGGTTATATATAGGCTATAAGAGGTTAATTTTTTTAAATAAAATATTTTATATACAGGTTAATATGAATAATAAAAGTCACTATGTTAAAATTAGGGTCATAACGTTATACTAGTTTTAATAAAGGTTACTACGTTAAAAATTGTTAAAAATAGGGTTACTATGTAAAAATTAAAGGTTGCTATGTTCAATATAATGTCAGTGCGTGTGTATAAATCTCGGGTCCACAAAACATTATTGTGGACCAGGTCCACGCAAGTCTTTTTGTGTAAACCAAACAACACCTAATTACAGATCTTGTACTACCTCCGTTACATATTAGTTGTAACTTTTGCCATTTAGGGGTACTATACATTAGTTGCAACTTTTCATTTTTTTCCTTTTTTAGTAAGTTTTTTTCAATGAAAGTACAACAATACCCTTACTAAAGAGTTCATAAACACAATTAGCTACCTAAAACAGATTTCATTACATTCCTAATCTAACTTATTTAACATAATAATATCACCCTATTAAATCAACAATCATCAAAACTCATCATCTCCCACTAAAAATCAGACCCACCTTTGCCGTCACCGTTTCCAGATAAACCTCCTTCAACGCCGTCGTTTCCAAAACAACCACTACCTTCAACGTCGTCGATGCTCATCACCACCGTCAAAGTCACCTCCTTCCTCCTCTTGTGTTCCTTTTTCTCTCTCTCTCTTTTTTTTTTTTTTGAAAAACAATTCGTTTAGATCTGAAGGTTTAAGGGAGGGGTGGGTGGGCTAGTTTGGGGTGGCTCGAGGCGGTTTCTGGGTGAATTAGGGTGAGTGAGGGTGGTTTCGGTCTGGTTCAGGGTAAGTTTTGGGGGGATTTAGGTTGAATGTGGGTGGTTTTGAGGGTGAGTGAGGGTGGTTGTTTTGTGGTGGTTTGCTCTAAGAGAGTACAGTTTGGAGATGGTTGAGTTGAGAAAGGGTATATATAAGAGTTCGAGCGAAAAGGGAGTGGTTCCGGGGTTTATCGAGCTAAGAAGGGGTGATTTCGGGGCTGTTCAGGTGGAGAGGGAGTGGTTTTACGGTGGTTCGGGTTGAGATTGGGTGGTTTCGGGGTGTGAGGTGGGTGGTTTCGGGCTGACTGTTCTTGGTCACGGTGGTGGGCTGGTTGTTGCTGGCCACGGTGGTGGGCTGGTTGTTGTTGGCCGACGGTGGTGGGATGGCTGCTGTGGCTGACGGTGATGGGGTGGGTGCTGTTGATGGTGGTGGGTAATTTATTAATTACCTTCACTTTATCTCTCCTACCTTGCATAATTACTTATTCTGTAATTCATTAATTCACTATTATGAAATTTTGTCTTAGAATCATGTCAACCTGAAAGTTGCTACTAATATGTAACAGATGCAGTAAAAGACTTATCGTAATTACGTAATTACGGAAAGTTGACATTTTCGAGCACTTTCTACTCTTTTTCTTCAATTCCCCTAACTGGCGAAATCCGAGTAAAGGTCATCGAGCCCTAGATGCAAAATTCTTATTCATTCTTCCATATTTTCAGACTCAAAACACAACCCTGAGAGAACTAATCCAGATTCTGCAAATAAACTTGCAGAGCTGCTCAAATCATCACAAACAATCATCAATCATCCTTCAATTTAATTTGTTATTCAATCCCATAAATCAATCGAATTTTCTGGGTATTAAAAAAATGAGCAAATTAGGGTCGAAAATGGCGGTTTTTCATGGCGAAACGAGTTTGGGTGACTTGGAGGTGAAATCTATGGCAAAAGACTCGAAATTACAATTTCCGAACAATGAAATTCGAATCCATCATATTTCGCCATCAAGTGATCGGTGTCATCCACTGTCACTTCTTCATACCATTTCCCCTTTCTCTTTTCTCTGCAAACTCGAACCCTCCGATCAACAACAGCAGCAACAACCAAACCTCTTGAGTTTACACGCTTCTTGCTTTTACGAGCTTAAATCTGCTGTTGTTTTGCTTAACAATGAGGAGATTCATCTTGTCGCAATGCCCAGTAAGCAGAAGAAGTTCCCTTGTTTCTGGGTTTACGCTGCGCCGGTTGGGCTTTATGTTTCGTGTTTAGGGATGTTGAATTTGCGGTGTTTGTCGATTGTCTTCGATCTGGATGAAACCCTTATTGTTGCCAACACTATGAAGTCTTTTGAGGATCGGATTGATGCGTTGAAGAGTTGGATTTCCCGGGAGGGGGATCCGGTGAGGATTTCGGGGATGAATGGGGAGTTGAAGAGGTACGCCGATGATCGGGCGTTGCTTAAGCAGTATGCTGAGAATGATTGTGTTGTGGATGGTGGGAAGATTTATAAGGCGCAATTTGAGGAGGTTGCTCCATTGTCGGAAAATCATGAGACTCTTGCCCGTCCTGTTGTTAGGTTGCCTGAGAAGCATCTTGTTCTTACTCGAATTAACCCCGAGGTGACTTAACTTGTTCTGCTTATAACTCATTATCTTAATTTATGTATTGTTTGTTATACATATACATGTGATAGAGTATATAAATCGATACTAATTTTTGGTTGAGTGGGTCCTTTAACATGGTATCATGCATGAGCTCATGAAGAGTTTGCTTTATCTTAAAGTGGTTGTTTGATATTATGGCATAGGATTGCTATCTTCTCGTGTTATTAACTTGTTCCTCACAAATTACCGGCATTCAATTTAGGATTCAAATGGAACTTTCTTGTGTAAGAGGATCATGGGAGTTTATGTAGTTCCCTGCATTGATACTTTATTTTGTAGGACATTAAGATAACTCTAGGCATTTCAAATTTAGGCTGGGAGTTAAGATTACACGTATTGAGTTGACATGAGAAATAAAACAGATGGTTATGGTAAGGTGATTGGATACGTCCTCCGGCTTTTAAGTGCTCCATTAACACTTTATGGACTATTCCGTAGTCACTTAACCTACTTTGACCAATGTTTGTGATTTATGCATAAAAAAATTATAGTCTGGTAGGTACTTTTTGGAATCACCTCAATGAATGGATTATTAATTTACAATTGTTATAAGTGCTACTTATTGATAATTAAAAATATTATTGGCCAAAGATTTGGATCGGCATATGTGCCTATGAGAAATGGATCACTAATTAAAAGATGGAGGGAGTACAATATAAAGGGTTATTGTTGAGGAGATTATGTCTTTTAACGAGTCTTTTGTGGACTTTGAGCTAATATTGTGCTGGATGTACGTATATGAGTGGTCTCTTATAGTCATAGTTCTTGTGTATTTGATAGTGATTGTTCTTTGTAAGCGAAATCTTAAGATTAAGGATATACTACTCATGTTCTACATTAGGTGATAAAGCCATGAAGGTTAGTTTAGGTTATAAGAAGTTGTATGATATATTATTAAGGAATTTTAATTTTTTATTGTGAGATGCACATATATGTGAGCTATTCAAGATTGGCTCTTTTTTTCTTTCTTTTCTTTTTTTTTAACAAGTCATCTACTCTCTCATTCCTTCGTAAAACTTTAAGTTATGGGTGACAATGTTTTTCAAGTTTAATATAAAGAATATATATCTAATTACTTGAATTACATCAACAATGTGAAAAAAAAAATTCTGATTGTAACATGATGTGTGGTCTTGTAACATAAGTGGCAGTGTGCTACTTTTGTGTAGTGATAAATACTAACCGTTTTAAGGGATATTTGGTTTCACTATAGGTGTATTAAGGGATATTTAGATATGGTGAAGGAATATTTGTTAAAAGAAGTATGATGCTTATGGTTGGAAGCTAACTAATTATAGAAAGGGGAAGCATTAAAGGGCAGTAGAGAAGCCTGAAAAAGCTTTTACAAATTCTTTTATGGGATACTCCATCTACATGACATTGTTTTAGAGGCGCATGTGGGTTTATCTTTAAAACAGACATGAATATTATAATTTATAAGGAGGGAAAAAATCCAAATGAGAGTGAGACCTTACCGCCGCTCCCAAACCTAAGAAGATGATACAATGCTACTAGTTGATGATATGTTGGCTACAAGAATAACTAATCCTTCCATCTTTCATTACCTCAAGTTAGTGAAGAAGATGGAACGGTCGTGGGGCTTTTGTGTCGAGGGACCTTAATAAGCAAATAGTTATTCTTGTTTATAGATAAGTTGTTGCATGAATTGGATCGGTTGTTAGTATTTTATGAGCCAGGTGTTAAAGTTGGGTATTTTGAGGATGCAAGATTTCCTATTGGACACACAAAGGGCACTATGAATTTCTAGTCATCTAATTCGGTTTGGCAAATGCCCCACAACCTTTTCGATCCTTAATGGATGGATATTTTTTGCCCTTACTTAAATTTTCTTCTTGTGTTATTTAACAATTTCATTGGTAGGAATGTCATGTTAAATAGATGGGGTTAGTGTTGACTGAAAATAGCTTATATTTTTACATGACAAATTGTGATTTTAGGAAGGAGGAGGAGGCATACTCAGGACATGTATTTCCGATAATGGTGTGACAATTGGTATGGAAAAAGGGGGATTTTGTTCGTGCAGTGGTATGAGTTTGGAATCAAGAATAAGATCAATGTTGTACGGAGATGGAACTTATACTTAATGCCCTGTATATGGTTTTGTTAGGGAATGCTAAATTTTCTTTTACTTAAGACCTAAAATTATGGTATGAGTCGTATCCAGTTTCCCCTCCCCCCCTTGGTTTTCTTAAACCAAAACAATCAGAGTTTAAGGTATGGGTTTGAAAATTTAAATATCTTAAACAAACACTAGGTATTGGTTTTACCCATTTTAAAACAATGCCTCATACCTAAATTACTTGAACTAAACACCCCATGAAGGCGGCGATGCTTCAACGGCCATTACTAAGCAACCTAAGACAACTTAGTTGATTTTTTGGGCTCACCGAGTATTATAGAAAGTTTGTTAACCAATATGCACATATAGCAATTATTAACGTAAAAGTTGATAATTTTTGGGGGTTAAATGAGGCATGAGAGCCTTTGAAAGAGGATTTCCCAAAGAAATTTTGTGGTGGAATTGGATGCTTTGGGTTATGGAGTAGGTGTTTGTGCCATGTTATGCAAGATAATAGGCCTATTGCTTTTTATAAAATGTAAACAGCTTGGGCTAAGGGCTTAACCTAAATCCATGTAAGAAAAAGAACTAATGGCAATTTAGGTAACAATATAAAAGTTGAAGTGCTATATTTTGGGTTGTCATTATATGATTTGCATTGATTAACAAAGCTCGAAGTTTATAACCTAACAACAAGAAATTGGGACTAAATATGGTAGTATGGTAGAGTAACATATAAAGGTTTGATTTTGAAATTTATATCATTTTTTTTTTGAACGTTAGAGATTTTGCACTATTCACAAAACCTCTTTTGACCGTTCTTTGTGATGTACTTCCTCCGTTTACACTTTATCACGATATTTAAGAAAAGTGGACCTCACATAATATAATACACTTAAAATGGGGTTAATTGGTTGAAAGGAACATAATCAAGTGGACCATGTGCTTCAAATAAAGGTAATAGTACAATTTTCACCATAAAAACCTTTCTTTTATTGTGTGTTGCAACTATTATGACATTTCCATTTTAAGGAAGTGTTGCAACTATAAAGAAAGAGAGGAAGTATATGTTAGGAAAACCATAGTCATGCGGGGTCTTGTTGGATTCGCTTGATATACACTTCTAAAATATTAACTTTCCATAATTTTTTACTTAAGTAAATTTGAAGATATTAATTAATGGTATAAAAGTGTGGGTGAGATAAAATTTGGGTCATTGGTAACATCTCATGGAGTGGTTGGGAAGCTTTGGAGAAGAAGATTTTGGGAGATCATTTATTAAAGATTCATAAAAGACTTAGCTTGAAAGATAAAGCTCATCAAGGGAGCATCACAATTTAGCACCCAAAGTTTTTTGAGATCAATTTGCTTGCTTGGCATTTGGATCTTGGGATAGAGAAAGATGGAATAAAAAAAAAATTAAAATAGTTTTAAGGTCTTTATGGGATTGTGTAGTTCACTGTGCTTCTCTTTTAATGATATACAACAGTACGTGACATTTTGTTTTCTTTCATTTTATTTTTTATGACCCTTCATGTATTCATTATTTACCTTTTTTAAAGTAAACCTTTCTTATATACAAAATTGAAACTAAACCATTGATAATGAGCAGAACCTCTGATCAACCATTTTCTATGGGCAGAATCGTGATACCAGTGTTCTTGTACGGTTACGACCTGCATGGGAGGACTTGAGAAGTTATTTGACAGCGAAAGGGCGCAAAAGATTTGAAGTATTTGTCTGTACCATGGCTGAGAGAGATTATGCTTTAGAGATGTGGAGGCTTCTTGACCCAGAAGCAAACCTTATTAATTCAAAACAACTTCTTAATCGGGTTGTATGTGTGAAGTCAGGTAAGCAGGATTTCTTTATCATCTTCTCGTAGGCTCAGATATTCATCTTGATATTTCTTTAATTTATGCTTATGCAACTGAAAGTAGCTAATGATGCTAAATAGTTGCATCATAAGGGGATTTGGGTTAGTCAATTATAACATATAAGGGCGAAGGGTTTGAAATGACAACAAAATTGCTAGCCATGCGAAAAGATGCTAATATATATTTTCAAGTAACTTCAAATTTTATAGCCTTTCCAAGATGTCAGGTATTCATTTGTGATATTAAAAGGAAATTGTTGTATAGTATGGTTATTTTCACATTATGGAAATGCCTATTTTTGATCCATGAGCATTAGTTTTTTCTTACTTTATACGTCTTTCGTCATTTAAGTTAGGAAATTTTAGATTTTAACACCTCACAAAAACGCAAAAATTGATTTTAACACCTCCATAAAAGAAAATGGATTTTAACACCAGATAAATTTCTACAAATTTGGTATTACCACCACTTAACTGATTCTGTTTAGGAATTCGTTAAGTGGGTCCATAAGCCACGTGTCGTGTTATTATTGGCCAAAAAAAGAAAAAAAAATAAAAAAAAAGAAAAAAAAATAAAAACCTAAAACTACCCAGCCACCACCACAGCACCACCCCCGCGCCACCGCCGCCTTCCCCCCAACTCACCACAGCCCTCCCCGAAACCACCACCCGTGTCGCACCACCACCCCCAACCCACACCTGAATCCTCCCCCTCCCTTTCCCGCAACCATAACGCCCCTAAAACCACCAAACCCAAAACCCTCGTCCCCCTAAACGGCCACGAATCCGGCCTTAAAAGGCCGAAGGGGGGACGAGGGTTTTGGGTTTGGTGGTTTTGGGGGCGTTATGGTTGCGGGAAAGGGAGGGGGAGGGTTCAGGTGTGGGTTGGGGGTGGTGGTGCGACACGGGTGGTGGTTTCGGGTAGGGCTGTGGTGAGTTGGGGGGAAGGCGGCGGTGGCGCGGGGGTTGTGCTGTGGTGGTGGCTGGGTAGATTTGTTTTTTCTTTTTTTTTTTTCTTTTTTTGTAACAAATAAAATGCTGACACGTGTTATTGTGGGCCACACTTAACGGAATTTTCGGATGGAAACCGTTAAATGGTGGTAATACCAAAACCCCTCCTCCCTTCCGGCGGCCGGCGCATAAAGATTCGGCCGGCGCCGGCGACCTCACCCTCTCCCTTTTCCCTACCCAAAATTGACAATCCTAATCCTAAGCCGACACCCCCAAACCCGGACCACCACCGCCACCGTAACCCTCAAAACCCATACCAACACCACTGTAACCCCCTTTCCCCTTCCTTCCACCGGAAATCGGCCCCCTCCCCTGATTCCCCCACCGAAATCGACCCCCCTCCCCTTCCCCTAACCTTTTCGGCCATCCCTAACCCTAAACCACCACCCCAAAACCACCACAACCGAAACCCTAAAATTCGTTTAGGGTGGTTTTGGGGTGGTGGTTTAGGGTTAGGGACGGCCGAAAAGGGTAGAGGAAGGGGAGGGGGTCGATTTCGGTGCGGGAATCAGGGGAGGGGGGCCGATTTTCGGTGGAAGGAAGGGGAAAGGGGGTGGTTTTCGTTCGGGGTGGGGGTCGGAGCTCAAGAACGGGAAAGGGAAAGGGGGGATTGGATGCGCATAGGGTGGGGGAAAGGGAGGGGGTGGGTTCACGCGGCGGCGCCGGCAGGGGGAGGGAGGTGAGGGGTGGCAGTGAGGAGTAGGGGTGGCTGCAAGGTGGTTGGAGGGGTGGCTAAACGGTGGAGTGGGCCCACTAACGGAAATAGTAACAGAATAAGGCATGTGGTAGTGATTTTTAACAAACTCTGTTTTAGGTGGTAGTAAAAAAAAAAAAAAATTTAAACAGGTAGCAAATGTGAAGCGTGGTGTTTTTAGTGGTAGCAAATGTGAAAATTTCCTAATAATAATAATAATAATAATAATTAAAATAATCATGTTAAAGCATTATAATAGCAAGATCCTAGGCATGATACTAACAAGATTAATAACAAATCCTAGCATGTCACTATACATAAAAAATCAAAGCTTTAGCCCTAACATGATACTAACATGAGAAAGGAAATATGAAGCATTCTTTTAATCATTCTTGATATTAGAAATATTAATTAACCCTAAACATTATACTAGGAAGCAATAAAACATCCTAACATGATATTAGGAATCAAAATAACAATCTAAACATAATTTCTATATTATAATATCAATAAAGCAATTAAAGTAATTACTTCGATGCCTCATATCTCTTTCTGATAACAAAATGCACGCGTTGGTAACTTCAAGGAAAATATTAAAACAGTAAATCTAATCAAAGAATTGAATAAAGTTTGGGACCAAATTATTGACCTTTCACGTCTAGGGCGAAGACAACTTCGAACTTGGCTAGGTGTGTTTAGTGCTAATGTATAAGGAATTGTGTTTGTAAAAGGTTAGACTAGAGAGAGGGAGAGAGAATAAGCTTTAGCTTAGAGAGAGAGAAGAATTAGAGAATTCTGGTTATTGAAAAACGGTGGTCCAATGACCTTATTTATAAGAAAATAATCCGGAATTGATAGAAAAGAATCAAAGTTCGAAAAGGAATAAAACACCACTACACCAGGCGACGAACTTGTCGTCGGGTAGTGCTAAGACAGTTTTTGCGGATTTTGTCTTTATCATATTTTTTGATCCCAAAGTCCAAATAAGTCATATAATGTCGTTGAAAAGCTCTTGAAGTCTACTTTCTAACCCAATTGAAATCAGATTAAAATCTTTTGTAGATAAAAGATATGGCCGAAATAGTGGAAGGATGTCAATTTTGGATAGAGTTTCGTATTCCATTCATATCTTTTTCGTTATAGCTCGGAATTAATATTATAATATATCATTGGAAAGATAAATTTAAGATCTATCCATCCATATAAAATTTGGATAAAGATTATGAGACACAAAAATAATATCTGACTGTCTTTGAACATCTTAAATTCGAATAGAATTAGGATTTGAAATAAAAGGAAAGTTTTATTCAATTTCAAACTTTTTGATTTTATCTTTTCAAAAAGGATAATTAAGATATTGTAGAAACTTATAGAAGCTTCTAATAAATCATAATTAGTTTAGGAATAGGATTAAACCTTTGGACCCTCCACATGATCATTGGGTCATAGGTAAATCCGGTTTGGGCCCAGTTTAGTATTTTGGCCATAACTTCCTCATTATTCATCGGAATTGGGTTTATAATATATCGTTGGAAAGATTTTTTCAAGCCCTATCAAACTACACTATTATTGGACCTATATCATGGACCAAACTAAAATGGAATGCACGTTTTTCATAAATAGGGTAAGAAAAGAAATATTTTCAAAAATCGAAAGAAGAGATATTTTAATAAAAACATCCTCATCACTAGACTTTTCACACTTTTGCTTTGTTCGATAATCATATGACATGAAAAGTATTCATCACTGAGTTTGGGTTTGGGGAGACACATTTGGGTCTCTACACTCTCCTTTTTAATAATCCGTTAACAGATTTGGGTCTCTACACTCTCCTTTTTAATAATCCGTTCAAAAATAAATTTGTCGTTTATCCCGTTCGTCAACCTTAAAAGAGGAGATAAAGAAAATGGAAACTTATGGAGCATATTCGTTGCACATTATGATTGGGGATAAACTTTTGGGAGGTTCTACATGGTGTCCTCAAAATTAGAAATTTTATTTGGAACATTTTTTTGGTATTCTATGTAGTGGCATTAGGGAATGGCTAAATTAATTATAGTGGCCTAATTTTTATAATGACCAACCTAATATTAAATGGTCCAAAACCTATCCGAATTTTATAAAAGACAAACCACCATCACTACCCCCTCACCCTCAACAATGGCCACCGCCTAACATTACTGAGTCGCAGATAGCAGCAGCTCGCAATGACCCACCAACCCAGGCTGTGACGGGACAGCAACAGCAACAGCAACAGCCCCACCTCCACCAACACCCCACCTTTGGGGTCGGATTTTCGAAGGGGGTAGGTGTTTGGGTCAGATTTTCGAAGGAGAATGCTGTGTGGGTTGGATTTTCGAAGGGAGTGGCCGGTGTGAGTTGAATTTCCAAAGGGAGTGGGTGGTGTGTTCAAATTTATGAAGGGAGAGGGCTGTTTGGGTCTGGATTTTGGAAGGCAGTAGCGGTGTAGGTTGGGTTTAGTAAAGGGGTGGGCAGTATCTAGGCTAGGGTGACAGTGGTGATGGTGGCTGGACAAAAGGGGGTGGGTGCATCGTGTTGGGTTGAAGAGAGGGGGAAGGTTAGATTAACTAAGAGGGTTAGTAAATTTATTCAGTTTAAGTACAGGTTTTAACCCATTTAAGCTAGGTTAGTCATTTAAATGAAACTAGGCCACTATAATTAATTTTGCCATTCCCTAATACCACTACATAGAATACCAAAAAAAATTGGGCTTTCACATCAGTGTTTGAAAAAGCGCGCCTAAGGCGCGCCTAGGCGCTGAGGCAGAAGGCGATCAGGGGGCGAGGCGTTTTTGGTTAGGCGCACCAAAAGGCGCACATGAAGCAAACATCAGCCTAAATTTGTAAACTGGCATATAGCGCGCCTCACTTCAAAGAGGCACAATGAGACACACCTGGCGGAGCAGAACCCCTCTCGCTTCAGTGTGTCTTCAGCTTTTTTATACATTGTTTCACTTAGAATATATTGTATATCTGAAACTATGTTTCACTTAGAATAAAACTTAGATTTTATTGTGAAGCCCTCTATTTAATTAATGTTGACGTCCCTGTCGATCTCCTTACTACGGACGTCAAACACAGAGGTAATGATGCAAAGGTCCTCATGCATTGTCAAAGTATAGTGATTGTAAATTTTCCTGTTTAATTACAGCTCTCCATCCTAATAATCCCTCTACCTATGCACATCCACTTTTTACATCCTCGAAAGATTATAAAGATATCTCTTAATCCTTGTTCTTGTAAGCTTTGCAGGATCAAGAAAGTCTTTGCTGCACGTTTTTCAGGATGGTGTTTGTCATCCTAATATGGCAATGGTGATTGATGATCGGTTGAAGGTATGGGAGGATAAGGATCAGCCACGTGTACATGTGGTTCCTGCATTCACCCCATACTATGCTCCCCAAGCTGAGGTACAAAATTAATTTTGTGGCACAGTGTTGAATCCTACCATTACGTGAGACTAATTATAAATAATTATTTTCTTTGTTCAATAGACAGCAAATGCTGTTCCAGTCCTATGTGTAGCCAGAAATGTTGCATGCAATGTAAGGGGAGGCTTTTTCAAGTAAGAGTTAAATCAGAATAAATATATAGTTATGCTTTCAAGGAGTGCCCCACTTATATGAACTCCTACACAGTTCCATCATATATCTATTTATTCCCTCTTGATGTGTGCTCTGAATTTTGCTAGAGAATTTGATGAGAACTTTTTGAGAAAAATCTTCGAGCTATTTTATGAAGATGAGATGTCAAATATACCTTCTCCTCCAGATGTGAGCAATTATTTAATATCAGAGGTATGAATTAGTTGCTTGTACCAGCATGTTGGTGAGAATTGCATACGCTTTTGGCCAAAGTTGAGCAATGTGTACTTTCAGGAGACAGGATTTATTGCAAATGGAAATACAAGCGCCCCCATGAGTGAAGGCATTTCTGGTGCAGAAGTTGAACAGAGACTACCGCAATTGGTAAGTCTGTCCTGCTCTACAAGCAGAAGAGTTTATTTATTTAATTCTTTAGTTGATATATGTTACAATGCAGCCATTCAGCTCATCTTCTAAGATGAATTTTGTATTTGTCATTTTTTCTATTCTTCATAGAATATTGTGATGTTGTTTCAAAAAAAAAAAAAAAAAAAAAAAGAAAAGAAAAAAGAATATTGTGATGTTTTTTCATGAGAGTTTCTTCATTTTTTTCTTAGGACGAGAAACTTGCTGTGGATTCAGATACTAATTTAGCAAATAATATTCCTGACTTGAGATCTGAAGCACCACAGCAGCCAATCCCTTCTGTTTCGGGTGTTGCTAATCCTTTGAGAATGACTATGCCTTCACAAAGTATAAAAGCTTTTTCCTTCAATTTGGTTTTCTTCTATTGATATTAGAAATTAGTTTTGATCTTTTATTATATTCTCATCCCTCTGCTGCTTACATTCTAGAGGGTTTGCTTGGGTTACCGGCTAGAAAAGATATAAGAAGTTCGTCCGGTGATCCCCCAATTCTTAAATTACCTGCTCAATCATCACAAGGTGGTTGGTTGGTTGAAGAGGATGGGAATAGGGGTCTATTGAGCAACCGAGGAATTGTGCCTGCTCAAGATTTTGATACATCTAAAGTTGATAAACAAAGAGCTTATGCAGGTCATCCTGGTCATAGCACATCATTTCCTGTTTCTTTGGCCCAGCTTTCCAGGGTGAGGACTGATGTGGTTTTATCTTAAGTTATCCATTATTTATGATTGCTCTTTTGATCATTTGTTAATCTGCATTCGGATTACTACTAAGGTTTCTACATACGCTTCTCTTGTAGTGATATATTAGTTCTTACTGACTGCAGGTGAATGCTGGACAGGAATTTTCAAAACAAAATCTACCTGCTAGTGAGACAGCTGGTATGTCTGTATAGTCTTTCCAATTATTTATTTGGTTTCACTTATGGAAGGTATTCTTCTCTAATTGAAGTAAGTTTGTGTTAGAAATTGTTCTTTTCACCTTCAAAAATAATTAAAGAAATTAAATTCTGGGATAAAAGGTACCCAACTTCAATTCACAATAAAAACAAGCTAACCTGATCTAGAATAAGAAGGGGGCTTACAGTGTGAGCAACAACTGTTACTGTGTATAAGCGATTGTGTGTGCACACATGAGTAGCAAATGTTACTGTGTATGTGCGTGCGCACGTGTGTTGCTGTTTATTTATTGTGCTTTCATGATGACAGTGGAAACATGGTAGAGGTTTAGATGCTAAATTAGGATGATGAAAACTTGAGGGGATCTACTTATATTTGTTCCATAATCATTGTAGCATGTAGAGTTTCAAAAACTTAAAATTATCAACACAACTTTTAACATAGATATCTGTAGTTATTTTCTAAGTAAACATAGTAAAATTAAATATTTTGAAAGCATGTGTCAAGATGAATCTAACAAGATCCTACATCTCACATAACCATGTTATTTCTTATGTATAAATCATTATAGATGGTCAAAGGGGAGTGTGTGAATTTAAGTAAAAGCCCAAATGTTGTAATGCTTTGAACAGCAAAATTATTTGATGGCTTTGGACAATGTGTAGTATCTGACCATAAGTGCTCTTTTTAACCTGAACAGGTGTTCCTGAATTTGCTAATATTCATAGTCCAGCTTCTACCACTAACAAAGAAACACTAGCTGATGCTGTTAAAGTAAATACATTGCCTTCCAGCTTATCAATCAGTGTGCTGCAAGAAATTGGTCGAAGATGTTGTTCAAAGGTATGTGAAATGAAATCATTTTTTAGTAACTTTGTCAGTGTTGGTATTTCATTGAAACATGTCCAAAGTTACAGATGCTTTTGCTGTCCAATCTTATATACTTTCTTATTATCACTTATGATCAAATAGTATCTGATCAAAAATATTTCGCTGTATCTGATACTATTTGAACATATGCTATCAAGTATGTTCAAATAGTTGGGAGCTCTTTATAGCCTTTATGTTCAAATAGTATCAGATCAAAAGTATTTCGTTGTAACATGTCCAAAGCCATCAAATCTTATATACTTTCTTCAATGCAGGTTGAGTTCAAGCCGATTCTCAGCACAAGTAAGGATTTGCAGTTTTCTGTTGAGGTTAGTATATTGCTTTGGTAATGATGTCATTATAGCTATAAGTAACATTGTAATTGATGTTATTTTATTATATGAACTGCTTAACATGGAATTTGGTCAGAGTTCACCGGTATTGTTAAAATAATTATAATTTATGTTTTTTTACTATTAATTTTGCAATTAAAATATCGCAAGTTATGAATTACCTATATTTCTAAAAATAACATACTACCTCCGTTTCGGATTACTCGCAACAAAGTACAAGTTTGCGGAGGCCGAGGCAAAAGATTGAAAACATGATTGTGGAAAAATAAGGGTATATGTTTAACTATTAATCCAACAAAAAAAAAAGGAAAAATAAATTCAACCTTAATTAAATTAAATACCCCACCACCACCCACACCACCCACTAGCAACCGAAACCACCCACCACCACCACCCATCATCACCAAAACCACCCACCACCAAACCCAGCACCACCGACGCACTCAACAACACCCACGAACCCTCCATAGCACTGACCACCCAGCACCACCACCCAACACAACCACCCAGCACTACCACCCAACACCGACGCATCCAACACCACCCACAAACCCTCTAATCAAAACCCTAAAACCACTGTACCCCGCAGCAACCGAAATCAAAACCCCAATCCAACCCACAATGCCCACAAACCAACCCCCTAAACCCACAAACCAAAACCCGTGGCGTCGATGACGCACCCACGAACCTAGCAACCACGAACAAACCTTCGACGAACCCATAAACCCTTCTCTATCATCAATTAAAGCTTATCTAGAGTTTTGATGGTTAAATTTGACAAAAAAACCTTCGAATTTGGGTAATGAGGAAACAAAAAGTAAAGGAAGAAAGAGAAAACGAGGCGGTGATGTAGGTGGTGGTTTCCATTAAAGATGGTGGTGGTCGGTGGTAGTGGCGGTGGTGATGGTGGTGGTTGCCATTAAAGGTGTGGTTGCCATTGAAGGTGGTGGATTATGAAGGAAGAGAGAGAAAACTTATGGAGGAAGATGTTGAATGTAGATGGAGGAGGGGGATGAATTAGGATGGATTTGGTGGTAAGGTAAAATTAATTAACCTTAGGGATTAATGTAATAAGAATAAATTTATAATTTAATTAGGATATTTTTTTTAAAAAAAAAGTAAGGGTAAAATTGTCCTTTCGTACCCAAAAACTTACCAAAAAAGGAAAGAAAATAATTTGTTGCGAGTAATGTGAAGCAACCATTTAAGGAAACTGTTGCGAGTAATCCGAAGTGGAGGGAGTATTTGGAAGGATAAGGCTAGACTTATCTAACAAAAATCCTATTTGACTATGTTTTGAATCATAGAAAAGCCGTTTAAGTACAAGACTCCAATTGCATTAAAATTTCTCTAAGACAAATGAAAATGGGGGGGGGGGGGAAGTAATGAGTTAATAAATATTTTTATCTCTTTTAATTAATTAATGAAAAAAGGTTAACAATAATAAGTGTTGTAATATTGTGTTTTTTATTTTTTATTTTTTTACTTTGTTGATGCTAAGCAAGTTCTTAATTTCTCAAAAGTCTAAATCATAACTATAAAAGTCATAGTAAACACCAAAAAAAAAAAAAAGACTGAAAAGGAAAATCGGAACAATAAAAAGGATTTGAGAGTGTATTAATCCTTACCCACCATTCACCACTAATTGTTGAATTAACCATAAAGGGACCCAATCATGATACAATTTTCTTGAAAATGTACTATAGAAGATAATAGGAAAAGCAAGTACTAGTTAGAAAAATTCATTTCTACGGCAATCATTCTAGTAACAAACTAACTATCAGCTATCATAAAAGATTATACTCCCTCCGTCTCCTTTTGATAGTCTCTTATGGGTAATTTTCACGAGAATTAATAAACACAAATAAGAATAGTTAAAGTGCATTGAAAAAGTAAATTGACATTGGGTATGTAAAAATGTAGAGAGAAAAAATAATAAAAGTACATGGAAAAATAAAATTTACATGGAAAATTTAAATTTGCACAAATATTGTTGCAAATTGGAGGGAATTTTGGTAAAAAATTAATATTAATAGTTGTTGGAAAAAGCAAATGGGGTGAACATTTTGGGACTAAAATTTTCCCATAAGGGACTATCAAAAGGGGACGGAGGGAGTATATAGTAACTCCATTTTTAAAAGTTGCATCACTTTGCAAATTGCGGATTTGTAGGTAATTTTTGTAGGTAAGAGAGAATAAAATAAATGAATCCATGTGATAGGAGAGAGATAGAGAGAGTTTAATGACCAAAAAGGAAAGTGATGTAACTAGTTTGAAGCTTCCGTTTTAGGAAAGTGATGAAACGGAGGAAGTATATATATATAAGACCTCTTTCCTACGGAATATGGCTGTTGGCTGCTAAAATTCTTGCTGGATATCATCATTTCACAATTTTAGGCTTTTAAGAATTGGTTTCTTCATTTTGTCCTGTTTGTGTATCTTCAAAATGATTCCACATTATTTTCTTATCATAAGATACATAATATGTTTACTCTACTCTTTGGTTCAGGTATTATTCACCGGGGAGAAGATAGGAGTTGGAATGGGAAAGACTAGAAAGGATGCTCAACAGCAAGCTGCTGAAAATGCTCTTCGTTGTTTAGCTGGTATGTAATGTAAATGGCAAAACAAATATATTTATCTCTTTGAATCAATAGAATTACGTCCAATCTTTAAGTATGATAAATATTTCCGTAATTGCTTACAATTCAACCGGAAATTTACTCTTATTGCAAAAAAAAAAAAAAAACCCCGCAATACAACCTCCTTAGGAATGGCACATGTTCTTTTGGATTTGGGTTAAGATATGCTCAGAACTTCTCAGTTTAACCACCAGATGGGTGGTTATTTAGGTTTTGTGTCTTTTAGTAAATACGTTTAAGAACATAAAAGATGAGTCACAAATAAATAAGAGGAAATTCGAAGGTGAATATGAGAGGAGAGAAGTATTATGTTTGTAAAAAGTTATATTGCTATATATAGTTTATTCTATAAGCTTTACATTTATCTTCACTTCTCGATTTTAAATTGTAGGAAAAGTTTGTCACAAACCACATTTTAAAAGATAAATTTTGTCACAAAGACAAACAATTTTATAATTTTTTTTAACAAACCTAATTTCGATTTTTATTTATGTAAGAGCCACATTTATGCGGGATATGGTCATTGACCCACTATTTCGGCTTTGACACCCTACGTCACCTCCCACTACTGCAACCCAAACCAGCTTTGCTGCCCTACAACTTGCCCTTACAACCCTCCCAAGAGTCCCAACCTGAAACCACCCTCACCAGCCAAAAACCCCACCCTAACCACCCACTCAACCTGAAATCATCCCTCATTGGCCTAAAACCCTCCCTAACCACTAGGAAACCACCCTTCACCCCATGAAGACAATCATACAACCTACCCTTCCCCTCCCCTAAAACCCTCTATCCTTAATCTCTCCTTCTCCCATCTTTTTTGGTTGAGGGTGGGGGGGGGGGTTGTGGAAAAGGGGTGGCTAAGGGTATCAGGGGTGCGGGGAGGGGCATTTGTGGGTTTAGCATGGAGGGGGAGGGGTTTCAGGGAGAAGGGGGAGGGTTTGGAGGGAAGATGGAGGGGTTTTTAAGGGTTTCATTGGGTGGTTCGGAGGGGAGGAGGGATAGTAATGGTAGGGGAGAGGCCGTTGGGAGAGGAGTGGGATTTTGGGTTGTAAGGGTGGATGGTAGGGTGGCAATGCGACTGATGGTGTGAGGTGGTGGTGCAGGGATCAACACCATAATAGTGGATCAACAACCATATTCCAGGTAAAGAAAAATTTTAAAACAGGATTGTTTTATAAAATTGTAGCTATAAGGTGATTTATGACCAAATTTGAGTTTTTTAAGGTGGTTTGATATAAATTTTCCCAAATTCTAATACTTTGCTTGTAAGTTAACCTAAGTGTTAGAGTGAATTTGGTTAACTGTTTGCTTCGTATATGCTATACTATGTTCCTTTTTTTTTTTTTTTAATCAATGGATTTTTAAGACTAGTAAGACTACCTTAGATGACCCATGCGCGGAGTTTTAGGAGGAATAGTAGAAAGCTATGTTTACATTGACACGGGTACGGGTATCCGATATTGGTACGGATCCGAGTGTCCGATACGTCATTTTCAAAAATTTAGGACACGGGTACACCGTCTTAACTTGGGACACGGTACCTTTGTAACATGGACTCGGGTACGTGTGTCGGACACGGATACGTGCCCGAGTGTCCGATTCGTCAATTTCCAAAATTTTTGGACACGGGGACTCTGTCCTATATTTGGACACGGGTGCGGGGACACGACACTTTCATATTTTACAAAAAAAAATATACAGTACATTACAAATTATTTAAATATTTCATTAATTTTCTTTGTTTAATACCTTGGAAATTAAAATATAATATTATTTTAAAATAATTTCAAATGGAGTAATTTAAATAATACAGTAGCATGACAAATAATATAGATTAAAAAATACTTGTAGTAAAAGTAAGTATGTAGTAATAAGTCAAAGGACAAATAAAGTAACTAAATTCAAAATCTACTACACAGCTGTCCCACTTTTCTACCCTTATTAATTAACAGCTGTCCCACTTTTCCATCTTTTCCTCACTGATATCAGAGTAAATACCAAAAATTTCATTTTCTCTTGCTAATATCGATCAACTCATGCTGGAAACAATGGAGTCTGCGAAAAATTTATACTAAGTCACGATTTCAAGTTGGCAAAAATGGAGTTTCAGCCTCTCTCTGAAGTGTCCGAGTGCTCACTGCCGAATCTGACACGAATTCCGTGTCCGTATCCGCGTCGTGTCGTGTCGACACGGACACTTCGGGATTTTGGCCGAGTCCGGTGAACATAGACGGGTACGGATACGGGCATATGGAAATAATTTTTTTTTTAAGAAAATGGATAATTACTGGTGTGGGAATTGGGGAATCCAGATTATCTTTTACCGTGTGAAGTGTAGTGGTAAACTTGTACTGTACGTGAGCAGTAATTAAATACTTGTAAGTGGGAAAAGGCTGTTAAAAAAAATAAAATAAAAAATAAGTGGGAAAAGGGGTGGGTCACGTGGGATAGATTGTGTGGAGGGGTCAGGTCAAAATTCAAGGTTAAAAGTATCCAGATGTATCCAATATTCCAATCTATCTTTTTTATATAAAATAAATAAAAAAATTTATTTGAGAAGTCAGATAGCGCACAACCCTCGCCGGAAAAGTATACAAGGAGCTTAAAATATGTGTTTTTTCTTCGATCTTTGCCTTGAAAATCCTTTTCAAGACGACATTGCCGTACTTGAGAGCCAAGTGGAGTATCCGGAACGGATTTCATACCCGGATCCGTGTCGGGTTATATCGACTCGGGTATGATAGCAATTTTGTCGTGTCCGAGTAATACAGGTAGAAAGTAATAAAACACGGTCGCATAAGGAAAGTGGAGCAAGTAACAAAATACGGTGAGAGTAACTGTTAATCATGTTGATTCTTTTACATTTTTTTGATGCACGTAACGAGACTTGGCTAGTGTGAATTTGACATCTATGTTACATGGACTCCTCATTTCACCTCAAGTTTCCATGTCGGACAAAACACTTCACACTTTTGGTTCAAAACCATGGATTTTATTTTTTCACAAAGTTGACGCTTGGACACATGATGTGGATTCTAACCCCTTGTTTAATCAGGTTTTTAGAAAACCCACAATCTTGAAAGAAATATCCAACCTTGAAAGAAATCTTTAAGATTAAATATAAACGAACCGCTATTTCTCCTCACAAGATCACTCCTGAAACTTATGATTCGAATCCCCAAATTAATTAACGTTAATGATTTTGAGATTGAACTCTTAGCCTACTCCTAGACACTAAGTGTTTAACGTTCTAATCTTCAACCGACTTCTTGAATTGAAAACTAGCAAAAACTGTTTAAGCAAGAGCTAAACAATGAACTTTTATTGAACTGAATTTAGTATTTGTTGCGTGTCCTACAAAGCCATGAAAATCCCCTATATATAGACTAAAAACTAACTAATTCTAAGTCTAATAGAACTAGGACAAGCCCCTAGCCTTTAGCTCCAAGTAACCTAAATAGAATAGGAAAACTAGTTCTACTTAGATTAGGAAACTAGTAGTAAGACTAGTTTGACTTTGTCTATAATTCCTAAAACAAATCCTAATCAACTAAGGAAACTTATAAAGCTAAAATAATAGAAATTAAAAGGTATCCTAGTGCTTAAACCAAGAAAAACCTTTTCAAGTGAAAGGTAAAAACTTGCAAGCAAAACTCTAGAAAAAAACTATAGTATGGAAAATATTCCATTTCAAGTCGGAGCCAAAATTCGTTGTACGTGCCACCAAGGAGGGGCACGCGTCTGACCACCGTCAAGAAGAGTCCAAGCCGGAGCTAGGAAGCCGCCGTGTGGGATCTAGAAAGGCGCGTGGCAGCCGGTGTTGTCGCCGGAATTCAGATGTGTCATTTCATCTTCCTTGTGAACCATGCTTCCTTCTTTCCCATTTAAACTATTGAACCTTTCCTTATTTATTTCCTTGTTTGGGCAGCCTATAGTGGAGTTGTTTAGACCTTCTAAAAGTGCATTAGACCCTTCAAAAGATTAGCCTCTTGATTCACATCAATACATACCCATGTCGGACATCAGTTCCAAGTCCATGTAACATAGTGTGACATTACTATGTATATGAATATCATAGTATCATTCTATTCTTTTTGAGTCATTTGATGATGGAAACTTTACAAGCGATAGTTTTTATTCTTATGTGCTTCACTATTTATTTATCCAAGTCCTGTCTATGATTCAATATGGTACCTGTCTTATATATATAGAGCCATTCAGTCATAGATAGCTGGTGATTTCTTGCTTTTACATCAAGGACATGTTTGTTATGTAGTAATTTAGTAATAACGATGAATTTGTAACTCTGTAAATGGTACTCATCTTCGATGTATAGATAGCTGATGATGCTTAATACTTTTACAGCTTAGGACCGGTTTTGTAGGAGGTTTTGGGAATGATTGTAATTACACTTGCAAGTCATGTGTGATGGAGTAATGCTAGTTCACCCCTAAAGTTTGTGTTTTCATTTTCATAATCATTGTTACACTTGAGGGGGGTGGTATTTACAGGTGATGTGAGCTTATGAAGAAAGTTTCACATGCTTGGGTTGGTGTTGTCGACTGATTTATGTATCATAGTTTAATGTTCATTAATCAGGTTATTAGATTGCTGCATGCTTGTCTTGTAATTTGATTGAAAATTGGTAAGTGGAAGTATTAGCAATGGAAGGAAATTATCACCAAGGAGAATTACAACCCTAGGCTTTGTGTGGCTGAACACTCTTAACTACAAACTAATGCCAAATACTATGATCAAGACAGTTATCTGATTATTTTCCCCTCTAATCTCCTTTATGTTTAAAATTTATGCTCTTCTCTTTTTTAGTACCTACTATACTAACAATTCTATATGTAATAGATGTCATTCACCAAAGTGCCCTTACCGCTTGGCTAGTCTTTTACAATATTTTTAAGACATGCCTTTGAGATATGATTTGTAATGAAGCATGACTCTGACAACTAAAAAATCACTCTGATTCCACAGAAAAATATCTGACTTATGTGACTCGTTCTGGGTTAATTGACCGGGATGAAAAACCTCAAGTCCAGAATGAAAATGGATTTATATGGGATGACATTAACCTTCAACCTGATGAACTATCTTCAGATGAGAAGCCGCAGAGAGAGAATGCTTTGGAGGTGAGTATACATTGGCACTGTTTTAATGTTACATAGTAATTCATTTATCATAGATTGGAAAGATAATTACAAATATGGATTATAAAAGCATTCAGATATATAATTTAAAAGGAAAATGTAACTTCGGAAGCTCTGTCGATCATGCTTTCAAATTTAAGAAATTTTGTATATCAACTCTGTTATCTTAGATGTGATGGTGGTGGGCACTGATGACATGGTAAATGGAACATTGAAGTTTATACCCCTATAGATGGGAGTTTTTTTTTTAAGAAATGTTGGCTCAAGTTGCAAGGGGCATGGAGTGTATCTATCAATAAAAATAACATTCTCAAATTGTTCTTATGAGAAAATCATCTAATTTGAGTGCTTGTTCTAAATGAATATGACATCCAGGAATATTTCCCTTTTTTTTTTTTTATTTTTTTTTTATTATTATTTTTTTTGTTTGTTATTTTACGCTATGAAATTTAGCTAATTTTGCCACTTTTCCATTTTTTGGTTCGTCTGTGTATATATGTTTTGTTGAGGGGGGTATTCATGCATCTGCATAAGGATTATCATTAAGTTGTTCAGGTGACATCTTGGTTCATGTAACCGAACCTAACTTTGGGCTTATTGCTATTAATGTTAATGGTTCTTCTCCAGTACAAGGGACATAGATATGGGAATAATGATCTTAAATTCATAGCATTTTGGGCCTTAATGATGTTGCTATGTTAGAATAATTTCCCAGCTTCTTACCCATGACAATCCTGCTACTAGGTGTAAAGGTCAAAGTTGGCACTGTTATATATACTTCCTGTCTCTGTTTTTATGGTTATGTTACTTTTTTTTTTTTTTTTTTTTTTTTTTTTTTTTTTTAAAAAAAATTATTTATTTTTAATCCACTGTGCACTTATGACGACACTTGCACACCATAGCAATAAAATACTTGTATATGGTAGTCAAGTTTTCGTGCTCTCCATCTTGCCTTACTCCTGTATCCCCATGCACTTTCTTTTTGCTGTATCTGAGTAGATAACATAGATGATGGTTTGGCTGTGCTGTTCATACATTAATTTTGTCACTTTATTGACACAGTAACAACAGAGCATCTTTGAGATTGTCGCTTCTCAATTTCTTATCTTAGGCTTCAGGTACTTTGCAACATCTGTAAAAAGTGATGCATTTGATTTTTACAGCACTTTATACAGTGAATAATGTTTTGCAGGCTGTAGAAGCAGCTTCTGTAAGTACTTCCTCGATGATCATTAATCAGCAGCCCGCAAAACCTGCGAACTCACCCAGGTAGGGGATGTGTATAAATTTATAATTGTTTCTCATTTGCTGATAAACTGTCATCGGTTCTTTAGTAGGAGCTGCAAACCTGTTGAATTTTTGAGCATTGTATGTTTGTATGGCTTTGTGAATCTTTGATTGATTTACTTGAATTTAAATACTTCCTCTACTTTTTATTAGATGCATCACTTTTAAAATTGCGGACTTCTAGGCAATTTTTGGAGTAGAGAGAATAAGAGAGAGAGATAGGATAAATAAAGAGGCCCATGTGATATGAGGGAGATGGAGAGAATTTATTGACTAATAAGGAAAGTAATATATCTAAATTGAAACTTCCATATGTAGAAAGTGATGCATCTAAAAAAAACGGAGGAAGTATAATTTGCAGTCAATATGGCTTTACTTAGTGGGCCATTCTTGTTCAAATTCTATTGTTGGTTATCCAGACTTTTGCATCAACAAGACATGCATCACACTATCCATGTATTTCACTCTGGTATGAACTCTAATCAACAGGATTTATTGATATGTTTTTGCTTGAGACAGTGCTTGATCTGGGTGGGCTTGTGGTTACTAATTATCATGTTCTTATTGTGTGCGTAAAATGCTAACCTAGAAAACATGTCATTGACGGTACAATGTGGTGGAGTGGTATATTGCTATGCATGTGTTTTAAGCCGTAACTGTATTATTAATATCACTATCACACTCTTGTTCTAAACTTGCTTCTTACTAACATTTTTCTGAGGCCCTGCTGTGTGAATATATCAAAAGAAGGTATTGACCTTGTGTTTCTATCATCCCTGCAATTTCTAGGTTACACCATTCTTCATCTAGCAAACGGTCAAAAGATGAAACGACACATGGTCTGCAAAGTTCATTATCTCTACGGCAACACAGGAATGGTCATCCTACATTATAAAGCTGTCAAGAATTATTAGTAGGATTGATAATAGTACATACTTTACCCACAGCATTGCAGATGGTTTGCAGAATTAGTTTCCAAAATGTGATTATTTGCTGCTTACCTGCCAAGGTGAGAATCCTCGTCAACCAACGGGCATACATGATTCATTAGATACCCTATTTGCCAATTAACGGGAGCAACTTTTGAGATGTTTTAATTTGAGCAGGTTTAGAGTATCAGGCTTGGCATGTAAATTATGTTTCAACAGCCAGCTGAACAAAGGGTAGAGGGGACTTGTGTAAATTTACTGGCTTTTTGTTTGGCTCCCATTTTCAGAAAGAGCTATCTTTAAAAGATGGCTCTCAATCAGACTGTTTTGCTGAGAATATGTGATCTCTATTATATAGTATCAGTTTTATTCTACTTCGATTTTGGAAGCTAAAATTGTTTGCTAAAATAGTATATTCCCTCCGTCCACAATTATCTGCACCAAATGTCTTTTTTGTTGATTTTTAGGCAAAACTTCTTAGACAACATTATTAAAAATTAAGATGAAGAGTTATTTAATCCAAATTAAAAAAAAACACACAAGGAAAACCACCGCCACTTGCGACAGCCACGAACCGAACCACCAGCACCCTCGCAACCCCACGAACCACTAGTACCTACGCAACCCCACGAACCACTAGCACCTCGCGAACCACCAGCACCCACACAACCCCATGAACCACTAGTACGCACGCAACCCCACGAACCATCAACACCCCACGAACCACCAACACCCACGCAACCTGACGAACCATCAGTACCCACGCCACCCACCGAAAGAGACCACCGAAACCCAGACCATCAAAACCCTCCACGCAACCCACCGAAACCCAGATAATTGAAACCCGTCACGCAACCCACAGAAACCCATACCACCGAAACCCCCCACGCAACCAACTGAAACCCAAACCGTCGAAAACCCACGACCCTAGATTTGGAATGGAAACCCACCCGATGGCCACCATGAAACCTACGAACTCAAAACCCAAATCCACAAAACCCACCAAACTCAAACCACCAAAATCCTTGATGGCCACCATGAAACCCATTGAAGTCAAACCCACATCGGAGAATGGCTGGTGCTCTGGGCTCGTCTGGGCGATCTGGGGTCGAATGGTTGGTTGGTGGGGCTGGTGCTCTGGCCTCGTCTGGGCTGGTGGTAGTGGTGGCGAAGTTGCTGGGGTATGGTGGTAATTAGTTGGTAAGTAAGTGAAATTATAAGATGTTAAACAAAGTTAAAAATATAAAGTAAGGGTAAGGTGGTCATTTTACTCTTTAAAATTTACTAAATATGGAAAGAAAAAGTTTTGTTGCAGATAAAATAGGGAGCACCCATTTATGGTAAATGTTGCAAATAATCATGGGCGGAGATGTTCCAATTCAAGTGGGACACATCTACGTGCCTTGTGACTTTGTAGTGATGGATATGGAGGAAGATGTTAACACTCCTTTGATTTTGGGACGTGAAGCTCTTAAAACTTTGGGGGCGGTCATTAATTGCAAGAACAACACCATCACATGTGAGGTGGTCGATGAAAAGATTGTCTTTGAGTTTTCTAAGTTGCTCAAGACCCCCTTGGTTTAAAAATGCTATAGAGTTGATGTTGTGAATGAGGAGCTAGATCGCTTGGGAAGGGTCGTGATGAGGCCTCAAGATCCAATGATAGAAGCTCTAAGTTCCACTCTCAAGAGGCTAAAGAGTTTGTCATGGCAAATGGAGGAATCCTCAAAGGAGGAAGTTGAACAACAAGTTGAGATCGAGCTTGAGTCCAAGGAGGAGAAATTGGAGGAGAGTTCTAAGCCTCTTCCTAAGGTAGAACTCAAGCCCCTTCCCCCTTCTTTGAAATATGCTTTTCTTGATAAGGAGGGAAAATACCCTATTATTGTCAATACTACCCTAGATGGTCTTAAATTGGAAAAACTTCTTGATGTTTTAAGAAAATATAGGGATGTGATAGGGTATAGCATTGATGATATCAAAGGTATTAGCCCTTCTTTATGCATGCATCGTATTCATCTTGAAGATGATCATTCCACCTCCATTGAACCTCAAAGAAGGTTGAACCCCAACCTTCAAGAGGTTGTGAAGAAAGAAATTTTGAAACTACGTGAAGCAGGCATCATCTATGCTATCTCCGATAGAAAATGGGTTAGCCCGGTTCATGTAGTTCCAAAGAAGGGTGGAATGACCACAATCAAGGATGAAATGGGAGAGGAAATCTCCACCCGGACGGTGACCGGGTGGAGAATGTGCATTGACTATAGGAGATTGAACAAAAACACCAAGAAAGATCATTTTCCTCTCCCTTTCATGGACCAAATGCTTGAAAGGCTTTCTAACCATGCTTTCTTTTGTTTCTTGGATGGGTATTCCGGATTTTTCCAAATCCCTATCCATCCAAGTGATCAAGAGAACACTATTTTTACATGTCCATATGGGACATTTGCATACCGAAGAATGCCACTCGGATTATGCAATGCTCCCTCTACTTTTCAAAGATGCATGACTTCCATTTTCTTTGAGATGCTTGAAAAAGAAATTGAAGTTTTCATGGATGATTTTAGTGTTGGTGGCTCGTCTTTTGACACTTGTCTTTTTAACATTGAAAAAGTTTTGAAAAGGTGTCAAGAGACGAGTTTGGTTTTAAATTGGGAAAAGTGCCATTTTATGGTCGAGGAGGGCATTGTCCTGGGCCATAAGGTTTCAAAAAATGGCATTGTGGTTGATCCGGCCAAGGTTTCGGTGATTGAAAAGTTGCCCCCTCCTACTTCCATCACGGGGGTACGGGCTTTTCTTGGGCATGCCGGTTTTTACCGGAGGTTTATCAAAGATTTTTCTTCAATTGCCAAACCTTTGACCGAATTACTCAAAAAAGAGGTTGTTTTTAGATTCAATGAGGCTTGCGTTGAGGCATTTCGTAAGCTCAAGGAAGCTCTCATTTCTTCTCCCGTTGTGCAAGCTCCAGATTGGAGCTTGCCTTTTGAGCTAATGTGCGATGCTAGTGACTTTGCAGTAGGTGCCGTTCTTGGTCAAAAGAAATAAGGGAAGTCGTGTGTCATCTACTATGCAAGTAGGATTCTAGATGAGGCTCAAAAGAATTACACAACAACGGAGAAAGAGATGTTAGCGGTAGTGTTTGCATTCGATAAGTTTTGGTCCTATCTTACATGCTCAAAAGTTATTGTGTACACGGATCACATCGCGGTGCGGTATCTCATGACCAAGAAAGAAGCAAAGCCTCGCTTGATCCGTTGGGTTCTCTCTCTCCAAGACTTTCACATAGAAATGAGGGACAAAAAGGGAGCGGAAAACTACGTAGCGGATCATTTGTCTAGGCTAATTCTTGAGAACAAGGAGGATGTACCGATTAATGATGAGATAGGATTTGAGGCTCTCATGGCTTTGGTGTCAATTTCTAACCCTTGGTACGCGGATATAGCCAACTATCTTGCATGTGGAGTCGTTCCCTCGGAGTATTCTTCTCAACAAAAGAAGAAGTTTTTCAAGGAAGTGAGAAGGTACTCTTGGAATGACCCATACCTATTGAAGCAATTTGGAGATGACCTTTATCGAAAGTGTATTCCAGATCATGAAATTCAAGGAGTTATTGAGCATTGCCACTCGCTACCATCTGGAGGACATGGTGGTGTTGACAAAACAGTGGCAAAAATCTCTCAATCTTTATTGTGGTGGCTGACAATGCATAAAGACGCCCACCAATTCGTTGCGCAATGTGATAGATGTCAAAGGAGCGGAGGCATTACCAAGAGGGACGAAATGCCCCAACAAAGTGTTTTAGAAGTTGAACCCTTCGATGTTTGGGGGGTAGATTTTATGGGGCCTTTCGTTTCTTCTTGTGGGAATCTATATATCTTGGTAGCGGTCGATTATATGACGAAATGGATTAAATCCATACCCTCACCTACCAATGATCAAAAGGTTGTGCTTAAGCTTCTAAAGAAGATCATTTTTCCTAGGTTTGGAGTTCTGAGGGTGCTAATTAGTGATGGAGGCTCCCATTTTGCCAAAAAGCAATTTGAAGCTCTTCTCAAGAGGTATGGCGTTCATCACAAGGTTGGATTACCTTACCACCCTCAAACTCAAGGACAAGTGGAGGTCTCGAATCGTGAAATAAAAAATCTTCTTGAAAGGATGGTGAACGAATCTAGGAAAGATTGGTCTGTTAAACTTGATGACACACTATGGGCTCTTAGGACGGCGTATAAGACTCCAATTGGCACGACCCCCTATAGATTGGTCTATGGAAAGGCTTGTCACTTGCCGGTTGAGTTAGAATACAAGTCTTGGTGGACCATCAAAGAGCTTAATATGGATTTATCGTTAGCCGGTGAGAAGAGATTGCTTAAGCTCAATGAAATTGAAGAGCTTAGAGATGATGCTTATGAGAGCTCAAGGTTATATAAGGAGAAGACCAAAAAGTGGCATGACCAACATATTCAAAACAAGAACTTTAAGGTTAAAGACAAGGTTTTGCTTTTCAACTCAAGGATTCGTTTGTTTTCGGGTAAACTCAAATCAAAGTGGTCGGGTCCTTCTCTGATATCAAAGACTACTCCTTATGGCTCCTTTGAGTTAGATGCAGATGGTAACAAGTTTATGGTTAATGGTCATCGTTTAAAGCATTACTTTTGCAAGGAAGAAGTTGGTATCATCGAATGTATAATGCTTGATCCTTTGGATCCCAAGCCTCCCACTTGAAGAATTTTTCTCATGGTCAAGCTAGTGACCTCATAAAGAAGCGTATCTCGGGAGGCAACCCGAGTTTCTAACTCCTTTCTATATTTTTTCAAAAATATTCCGATTTCACTTTTTTTTTGAATTTGAATTTGAATTTGATTTTCCCCCCTTTTGGTTGATAGGTGTTTGGATGATGAAGGAGCAAGGATTTTCTATATCGAATATGTGAGGAGAAAGAAATTGAATTTTACTCTGCGCGACCCTGTGCGTGACATCTGTGCGGGTACGCAGTGTAAAGTGTGCGGGCGCGCAGGCACTGTTTGAACCTGCACACCTTTATTCGCAAATTGGAGTTCGAGACAGAAGGTTTGCACGACCTAGTGCGCGACTTTTGTGCGGTCGCGCAGGAGAAGGTGTGCGGGCGCGCAAGCACTGTCAGAACCCGCACAACTTAATTCAAAATTGGAGATTTGAGACAGAGAGTCTGCGCGACCTAGTGCGCGATCCCTGTGCGGGCGCGCAGAGCTGGGAAAATTGGGTTTTAACCCTTTCTTCCCCATTTCGTCCTCATAATTTCACAACCCTTATTTCATGCTCTCTTCTCTCTCCTCACAAACTCAAACCCTAACCTTCCAATTTCACCCATTTCTCACAAATTCCATTGATTTTCCTTCAA